CTGTGGTGGCTTGAGTCAGCAGTGAGACCGGATTCTTCCTGTAGTCAAATGTAGGTCAAGGGCCGGGAGACACTCCCACAGGAAGAACCACCAGGACTGGAAGGTGCAAAGTCTCAGCTGGTTGGATTTCATACCACCCTATTCACACAGTTACCAGGCGCTGCGTGAGGAGGATTATAGAGAACAGCTCCACAAAAAACGTGTCTAAAATTAGACTCTGGACTTGAATAAGGCTTCTCAAGATGGAGACACAAAAAAGATAATCATACCTGCAGCTTTTAAGCCACGTCTGTCTCTACCCCTGCTTTAAGAACTGGCTCCTACAAAAGCCCCTACCAAATGTATCACACACGCTCAGTAGGCCTCCACAGAGGGGGTACAGACCAGCCGGCAGGCCAACGCCCACTGAGCAGCTGGTATTATGTGGCTAGCTGTAAGACACAGCCTTGATGTGAATGGAATTATTCTACATGAACCCCTTCTGTGTTTGTCTTGCGGTGGACACACCGAGTGGTCCCTTTGGCAACACAGATCCAATTCCAGCGAGAGCGCTGTTTCTTGCTTCCTGCTATTTATTTATCCACAAGAGGCGAAGGTTTATTGTCCTCTCCACATCACAAGGCCTAACCTAGTTACTAGAAGAAATGAGCCAGGATGTCCCGACTGAGCTATGATCCCATCACAGCTATTCTGCATGTTATCTTGTATTTATTTATTTAGGGTGCGGCCCACGGGAGTCACATTAGAGGGCAACTCCCAGGAGCTGCCCTTCGTTCTACCAGGTGGGTCCTAAGAATTAATCTCAGGTCGCCAGGCTTGGCAGCAAGCTCCTGTATCCGATGAGCCATCTCGCCAGCCTCGCTGTTGTGTATTCTGATTTCTAGTTCCCATCCCAAGCCCTTGATTTGCCTCCTTGCTATAAAAGCCACTGCTACCGAGCATTTATTCCCTTGGCTCTCTTTCATTGTGAGTTGGCTTTTTAAGGCCTCACTGTATTCTAGCTGGCCTAGAACCCGCTGTGTAGACCATGCTGGCCTCAAATCCATGACCATCCTCCTGCCTCCGTCTCCTAGGTCATTGGGATTACAAGCTTGGTCCACCATGCTCAGCTTCTCCAGGCAAATTACTACATTAAGGCGACAGGTTACCTTGAAGAACTACTAAATCTGACTATCTGTGATGAGCATCATAAAAAGGCCTTTTAGACAGGTAAAAATAGGAACCCCACCACACCCAAGGCTACACCTAATAACCAGAACCTGGTGACATCACTCAAGATAACCAGGCACAGTCCTAGACCCCATGACACCCACTGGACAGAATATAAGCAGAGACCAAGAGCAATGCTCTGCTCTGCACATCTGGAGAGACGCCATCTTAGCCTGTCCTGCATCTGGAGAGTCTCCCACGGGATTCTGACCCTCACTGTAGACTACCATGAGAGACTGGACCTGACCTTCAGCTGAGATGCGTCCCACAGGTGAGCAGGCTCGAGGACCTTAGGACCAGAGTTAGGAACGTAAGTGTGAACCTTGGGTGATGGCCCTCAGCGTGATAAAATACGACTAACTGCACGTACCTACCTTCTTGCTTGCCTCACCATCTATACACATGCAGGCTGTTTCTCAAGCCTATACCCCGTGTCCGTCTCTTCTCGGATACATTCCTAGACCTTCTAAAACAGGATCTTTTTCCCTATTACTTTTTAAAGTTATTTCTGATACAAATACTAATCATTTTCTGCTTTTCTTGTGTCACTTTTCAATAGCCAAGGTGAGACCTCACAACTTCAGAGACTTTCTAACCTTTCTGCATCTAGAAACTTCTAATGAACATACAGTCTTTTATCTAAAGTCCTGAACCTAATGTTATACAGGGACATACACACTAACATGCATGCACACACGCACACATGCACTCTCTCTCTCTCCCCTCACCTCTCCCTCTCTCTCCTCTTAGCCTTTCCCTCCCTCTCTCCCTCCCTCCCTCCGTCCCTCTCTCTCCTCTCTCTCTCTCCCTCTCTCCCTCTCTCTCTCTCTCCTCCCCCTCCCCATCTCTCTACCTCTGTTTTTTCATGCCTCAAGCAATGACACCCATCCTACTATGCCTCCCAGGAGGGTCTTCTCTGCCCCTTGCTGTTATGGAATATTCCTTGACACTGTGTGAAGATATTTCACTGTGACTGGTTTAACAAAAAGCGGAACAGCCAATAGCTAGGAAGGATTTTCGGGGCAGAGAGAAGGCTGGGAAGAAGAAGGCAGGGTCACCAGGAGAAGCCAGATAGACAAGGAACCAGTTGAGCGCACAAAATGGAACAGAGGTAAAAAACACATGGTAGAACATAGATTAATAAAAATTTGGGATAATTTAAGGTATCAGAGCTAGTTAGGTACAAGCCTAAGTTATCAGCTGAGCTTTCATAGTTATGTCGTTTTTTGTGAGCTGGAGGGCCAAAAAAAAAAAAAAATCCCATTACACCTTGATGTCCCACACCCAAGGATTTCTACTTCCTGAATGGGGAGCACTGACCTACAGCCAGCTCTTTCTTCTTATGTCCACCTTAAAAGAGCAAGTTCTTTGCCTTAATCATGCCAGGGAAGCTTGCCTTAGTCCATTCAATTCTGCATCTAAGCTCAATCAAACCACTGATAACAGTAAAATGCTTCCTCCCAATAACTAAAAATGGAATTATTATAAACAGGTAGTCTATGTTTAAAATGCTACACTTTTTTCTTTTCCTATGAACATTTAAACTTATATTAAAATATTTAAATTATAGATTTCAACAAAATACTGCTAAAGTCACATCATTAAATAACTTTGAAAAAAGTCATTAAGCTCTTACTATAAACCGCTCTCTAGCTTGTGCTAATAGAACATAAGCAGGCATCCGCCCTCTCTCTAATCTAGATCATTGCTCCCCATACCCAACCAAATCAGAAGGTTCCAGAGACCTTGTAGGAAGTGGTGTCAGAAGGAAAGGGCTTCCTTCCCTAACAGCTTGTGGTGCAGAGGCTACCTCCTCAGTAGACTGTAATATGAGAATAAACCTTTATCTTACTCCACTACAGTGACACGGTTGTTTTGACAACACCCTCTGTGTAGCTAGCAGACAAAGATGTTATGTAAGAGTTAGGGAGCAGCAAGGGTTTGGAGTAGCAGATGAGGGAGATAAAAAAGATAACGTCTAAGATCAAACTGAAGGAGGGCCGTGAGGGGCCCATGAAGACTGGGTTCCACAGATGTGTAGTAGTACAACCCGCATGGTTATGCAATCAATTCAATTTGCTTATGCTAAAGTGCTGGTGTTAAAAAAAAAAAACAAGAAACTGCATGTCGACTGAATATAAATGTATACCAGAGAAACCCAGAGCAGGTGTGAGCAGAACAAGATTGGAGGACTCAGGCAGGGTCCCCACTGCTGGACACCCCGGGGACCTGCAGACAGAACCTGGGTCCTGGAGCTCCGTAGCTCAGGGTGAAAATTCCTGTAGTAACATGGTTAGTTTTCAGAGGGTTATTTTTAGCAGGGTCTTACTTCCAGAGATTCTGATAGCTTTAGAGCTAGCTCCCAGCATCATTCCACCATTATGACACGTGACCTGGGCCACTTCCTTCTACTTGCAGTGAGCCAATTGGATACGGATTTTGCCAGGCAACTTTTCTTCAAGAACGTCTGTTGTTTAAAGATGGGTAGCTGGTCTGTTCTCTACCCTCAAAATCCAGGTGTGGATTTCAATTCCTCTTGAGGCTCTTCTTAATCTGATCCAGTATCTATCTATCTATCTATCTATCTATCTATCTATCTATCTATCTATCTATCCATCCATCCATCCATCCATCCATCCATCTATCATCTTTCTTTCTTTTAAGAATATATCATCTGTTTGAGCTTGGTTTTGTTTGTTATTTGGGGACACAACTTGCTTTCACCAAAGCCTATTAATAAACCCTACTTTGCTCTCATTGGGAAGAAAAAGAGACTTTATCCTCTAAAATTCTCCTTTTTACAAGTGACTTTCTCAAAATTTGGGCAATTTCTATTGTTAATTTTTTCTCCAGAGACAAGTTTTTTTTCTCTAACTTGCTTATCTTTAAATTGGATGTTTTGTTCATTTCGATACTGCCCGGAGGCAAAAGACTGAAATAGACACACCACTCTGGGACAACGGGGAGAGCTGAGAGGCAGGAGGTAAAGTGGGAAGTCTGTAGCTGCCCAGCTGGGCCCTACATTGCAGGACACGTTTCTTTCCACGGACAGGAGCTGGTTAGCTCAGGGGAGCTGCTACTGCCTCTATCTCCTAAAACGCCACCAGTCTCCTTACAGAGTAACGAGACCTGTTCAGTGCCAAGAGGGAATAAATCCCCTCTGGGGAAACAAGAGACAGAAGAGGTGAACTCTACTAAACTGTGGAGGGAGGAAGGAAGGGAGGGAAGGAGGGAGGGAAGGAGGAGAAGAGAGGGGAGGGAAGGGAAGAAAAGAGGGAGGGAGGGAGGGAGGGAGGAAAGAAGGAAGGGGAGAAGAAGAGAGGGGAGGGAAGGAGGGAGGGAGAGAGGAAGGAAGGAAAGGAGGGAGGGAGAGAGAGAAAGGAATGGGAGGGAAGGGAGGGAAGGGAGAGAAGGAAGGGAGAGAGGGGGAGAGGAAGGAGGCAGGAAGGTAGGAAAAGAAGGAGGGAGGGGAGAGGAGGGGAGGGGAAGAAGGGAGGAAAAAGAAGGCTAAGAAGCAAGAATATAGCTTGGAGGGGGCTAACTTTCAACACTTATAAATGCTTGCAGAAATTCCTATTAGAATTAGAAACTACTTTGAATATCAACGCCACATTAAGAGTTTAGAAAGTTTATATAAGGCACTTTGGAAGCACAGGTATCTCTGTGACATCTATGGTATCACAAATGTTCAACAGCTCTCCATCGGAGCACTAAACGAAACTACAGTCTGCATTTTAAACCACTATGTTAGAATAGGTAAAAGAGGTCACTGAATCAAATTTTAATCTTACCCTGAAAAATCAGCAGAATATTGTCCATAATCAAAGATATAGACTCTAGTAATTTGACACACTGTGAGGTATCCCAAAGCAAACACAAAACAACATCTGTAAAACAAAAATAAGCCGGATTAGTGAAAAGCGTTCATTCTGTCAAAGGGCACATTGTAAAGAAACTCACTAATTCACATGGCTAACAATTAAATATTCTTATATCTACACTACAAATAACTTGATCTGGCAAATCAGGAGAACTCTTTCCTAATATGTGGTGAATGGCTGATGAAATTGACCACTACTGCTATTCAATTTTATTCTGAAAGACGGCCACACATAAACTATGTGAAAACCATGCCCACTGAAGGACATGGTTACTGGTGGCAGCTTTTCCAATTGGCTAACGCCTACCTCCATACACATTACACAATTCTTAACTGAATTTCTTCATTTGTGTGTATGCTTCTGCACGTACGTGGACATCAGAGGGTGTTGGCGTGACCATGGAGACCTGAGGTCAGTGCTGGGGACCATCCTCTACCACGCTCCCGCTTTATGAACTGAGGTACAGACCCTCAGTCAAATACAGACCTCCCCAGGATGGCTAGTCCTGCAAGTCAGCTTGGTCTGCGAACCCTGCCTTTGGATACTGAAACCACAGGCCACTGACACGATCACACCTACTACCTTGCCCACCTACGTATTTTGAGTTCTGGGGAATCTGACTTCTGGCCACACGCTTCGCAGCAATTTAATTTGATTTTTAAAATGTGCCCTCGGTAGCCTAAAATCGTAATCTTTAGAGTAGATCAAGGGAATGCTCACCCACACCCAGACAGTAATTTTACAAGCACACCCAGATACCCAAATATGAAACCACAACAATTGGGGATTGGGGCCAAATATCCATATGTAGCTCTCAAACTGGAGGTTTTCTAAATATTCGATACAGAAGCAATCAAAGGGGAAGAAAACTACCTATTTGGCTAAACTAAATCTTAAGTTACCCGTGTACGTGATTCAGGTGACTTTATGAAGGAATTCTTTAAAGCTATGAAAGAAAAAAAACCAGGTATGGTGACGCACACATCTTTAATGCCAGAACTCAAGAGCAGAGGCAAGTGGGTCTCTGTGAGTTCAAGTCCAGGCTGGTGGTCAGGGTTAAACAGAGAGACCCTGCCTCAAAGAAAGATAAAATGAAGAAAAAGAAAGTATAGCTGGGTGTTGGTGGCCTGCACCTTTAATCCCAGCACTCGGGAGGCAGAGGCCGGCGGATCTCTGTGAGTTCCAAGGCCAACCTGGTCGACAGAGTGAGTTCCAGGGCAGCCTTCAAACAGAGAAACCCTGTCTCAAAAAACCAAGAAAAAAAAAAGGAAGGAAGGAAGGAAGGAAGGAAGGAAGGAAGGAAGGAAGGAAGGAAGGAAGGAAGGGAGGGAGGGAGAATAGCACACTAAAGCCAGCATTATTTAATATGAGATATTTCAATCAATGTTAGTTTATTTTGTAAATTCAAGTAGGAGTCTATGTAGGAGGGCTATTGGTATTAACCATCATAAAGATGAGTCAGAAAGGCGGTACTAAAGCTTAAAGCTTAAAGCCTGGTGGCGGTACCTGGCTAAAGCAGGAAGACTTCAAGTTCAGAGACCTGCCTGATACTACAGAGTGAACGCAACGCCAGCCTGGGCAATTCGATAAGATCCTATTGCAAAACCAAAGGTAAGAAGTGCGTCAGGGACACACGGCTCAGTGGTAGAGCACTTGCTTATTACCATGCATGAGGTCCCAGCTCAGAAAGAAAAACATAATTCAATAAAGAAAAAAAAAAGAGAAAACACTTAGTAAGCTGAAGGAAAAAGATGCTTCCTCAACATTAAAAAGTGTAAGTATGGGGCTGGGAAGACTGCTCGCCATATTAGCAGACAGACTGGAGATCAGTCCCCAGAACTCATGAGAAAAGTCCGACACAGTGGCACAAGCCTGACAAGAGGACCTTTGGAGCTCGCTGGCCAACCAGGTTAGCTGAACCAGAGAGCTCAGAGTCTGTGAGAAACTGTGTCTCAAAAAATCAGGTGTCGGAGGCAACCACATTGCTCAGAAGATAAAAGCACTTGGCAAGCAAACAGGATATAGCCTAAGGTCCATCTCCAGATTCTATGTAAAGGTGTTAAAAAAAAAAAAACCACCTCCACGAAAGTGTCCTCTAATTCCACATGTGTACTGCAGTATGGCCCCCTATCACATAACACACATGTGTACACACACGGACACACAGATAATGATGATGATACAGAAAAGGAAGACACAAGATTTTGATCTTTGGCCTCCACATGAACAATGTGTGCTTTCACACACACATGCACATGCACGCACGCACACACTTGTGCACTCAGGGTCTTGTCAGCCCTGAGAGATAGTAGTAACTCACAAGAGATGGCCAAGCAAGAAGCAGGGAGTGGGAAAGGAAAGGAGCGTGGGTTCTACAGCCTCACTCTACTTGTAGGTCTGAACTAAGTAATAGCAAATTCCACTCTTGTAAAATTAATTTCTAAGCTTAGCATCATAATCCCAATCATAATCCCAACAGTGCCTTTGGTGGAGGTTAATCAGCTGATCTTCAGGGGTTTCTAACATGTGACTGGGGGGCCCTGCCCTATTCTAACACATCAGAGAATATGCCCTGAGGATTGAGAATGAAGCATTGTTTCAAAAATAGATCAAAAGATGACCCAAACAAGAGGCAGTGTAAAAAGACTTGCTGTACGACTGGAGAGTCTGTTTATGATAACACCGGCATATTAAGCCAGTGGTGAGCTGAACGAGCTTGAGTGAGAGGAAACAATAGCTCTCTTCTGAGATGGCTCCCCAGTGCATACTAGACACAGGGAGCCCCAGTCAGTCCAAACATGAAAAGACCTAAGTGTAAAACATAACACGCAGAGTCATACAATATGACAAAAGAGGACACCTGGAGGGAGACAACCATGAAAGCAAAACTCCCAGATGCCTTAGAGATTTTCCTACACGTACATCAGAGAGCGTGGTACGCTAATTACAAAGTATTACATGATAATGTAACAGAAATCAGTTGGTATATTTACTAGGTTAATGTCCCCAGCAGAGTACATGCAAGCAATAAGAAACAGATGAAGAAATCAAGTGGAAAATAGATAAGAATGTTAATGAGCAAATTATATAAGAAAAACGCAGCCACCAGTTTATTTAGAAAAAAAATTAGACACAGTTAAGCAATCACTGGAGACAACTTGGAAATGCACAGCAGGATGGAGACAGTGTGTGTTTGACACAGACAGGCAAAGTTTTAAGTTGGTAACTCTCAGGCTAAACAGAGGACTCGGTGCTGACACTTCTGTGTATCTCTCAGTCAGTCTGTCTATGGTCTGTCCGTCTACTGCATGAGGGCAGAGGTCATGCACACTGTGAACATCATAAGATGTACCCCCACTCCCGGTTCTTCCTTTTTAATCAAATCAGAGTTTTCCTGTGAGCTAGCTGAGCAGTCTACTGACTGAGCTACACCCCAGTCTGAGGAAGGGAACTTTTAAAGTCTTTTAAGCACATAATTTTGTAGCATACGTCACCATATGTCAAATATACATTATTATATTAAGAATATAAAGAGTATACATTATACATTCTTTGATCTGACACTTTCTTATTTCACCTGATACACTAGGACAAGGTATGGGACAGGCACAGCAAAGATCTGCAGTATAATGGTGAATAATGAACAAAGATACAACCCTGTACAGTTCCACCCAACTCTACATTCAGAGATTTCAATTCCTGCCTCACCAGGGTGGAAGCATTTGTGTGACAGAAACTGATACGCAAGATAAACCCAGTCACTAAAACCAAGATTATGTCCTCATTTGTATAGGTGTGAGGAAAAAAAAACAAAAACAAAAAGATCATCAACTCCAGCCTCTAGGAAAAAAAAATCTCATCCAATGTCTGGTTTTATAAAGATATTTTTAATTTGGCCATGCCCTGCTCATTTGTGTATTATAAATGGCTACTCTTGGCTTTCAGCAGCTCTAGAAGTCTAAAATAATTACTATCTCATCCCGTTAAAGAAAACGTTTGCTGACCCTAATTAAGGGTTAAAGTGTGGTGAAGATAGTAATTTAATTAAAAGTGTCAGGATGTCAGCCATTGTGAGGAATGGCATCACCACTACTACTTCATTAGCATAAATGTCAATCAACACTCACTGCGGAACATTAGTTCAGCAGTAACACACGCAGCTACTTTACTGAACCAGACAGTAACTAAGCACCGACTTTCAGGCAGCACAGCTGGTCTGCAAACGCAGGTGAACTATAAAAACTTAGTCAATGAAAGCTTTCCACAGGAACTGTACGTACAGAATGTACATGAAAGTGTACTGGACACTCGCTGTGTGTGAATTATGTACTACAGGTCCACTCAATTCACACGTTTTAGAATAAGCATAGATGGCACTGTCCCAGGGATTGAATGATTCCAGCTCCTGACCCAGATACCAGACTCCACAGGTGGTCAGGTTCCTTCTATGCAGTGGCCCTGTGGTTACACAGAAGGTACACTCCCCTGTGCGCTTCAGCCACCCCACAGCAGGCTGCTTACAGCGGCTAACACAAGGGAAACACTCGAAAAACGGGCTGTATTTGGGGAATAATCGATCAGTCTGTGTGTTCAACACAGACGCCACGTTTTCCTCAAGTTTTCTGGCCACGGTGTGGAACCCGCAGATGTGGAAGCCACGGAGGGAAGGCTGACTGACTGTTGGGGACACATCTTTCCAGAAAGGCAGTTAGTGGTGAGACATGGATGAGGGCTCTCTGATGACTCGGGTGCAGTTGGCCGGCCCTTGGAAAATGGCTTACCTAAGCTGAACTCCGCTGTGACAATAAAACCCACCCAGATTCTGAGTCTGGAAATGCAAACACTGAATAACTTGCTACCCCTATTTATTGATTATACTTTTACATGCTATTGTTGGAGATGCTCATTGGTGCTCACACACAGACCAAATCACTTGAAATATGACTGTGTGCGTGTTGACTTACACTTTCCCTGCTGATCAGTGAACTGGGAAAAATCAAAAGCTT